CATGCCTAATACAGGCTGTGTATTAAATAAAGAGATAACAAAACTTTAATTTTCAGTTGGACATATAATAGCCCAGAAAGAGTAAGGAAATAAGATTGGGTTAGCCACGAGGGAAAGGGTGAGGAAGCCCCCCCCCCCCTAATACAGGCTGTGTTTCAAATAAAGAGATGACCAAAAACTATAATTTTAATCGGAAGTATCATAGTCGAGAAAGCGTAAGAAACGTGGTTGGTGTAGCCATGGGGGGGGGAGAAGCGGGCTGGCCTAATAGGCAGGCTGTATTTTGAATAAAGAGATAACAAAACATAAGATTGGCGTAGCCACGAGGGAAAGGGTGAGGAGAGCCCCCCCCCCCTAATACAGGCTGTGTATTAAATAAAGAGATAACAAAACTATAATTTAGTCGGACACATCATAGTCAGAAAGAGTAAGGACATAAGATTGGCGTAGCCATGAGGGAAAGGGTGAGGAAGTCCCCCCCCCCCCCTAATACAGGCTCTATTAAATAAAGAGAGAAAAAAAAAAATAATTACAGTCGGACGTATCATACTCGAGAAAGAGTAAGGAAATTTGCTTGCCTAATACAGGCTCTGTATTAAAAAAAGAGATACAATATAACAAAACTATGATTTCAGTCTAATGTTTCATAGTGAGAAAGAGCAGGGAAATGTGATTCACATAGCCACGGGGGAAGGGGAGGGTGCTCGCCTAATACAGGCACTGTATTAAATGAAGGCAAAAACAAACTTTAATTTCAGTCGGACATATCATATTCCAGAAAGAGTAAGGAAATGTGGTTTGGTGTATCCACTGGGGAAAGGGGGCTCACCTAATACAGGCTCTGTATTAAAGAGAACTAAAGAAAAATTTTAGTTGAACATATCATTGTTGAGAAATAGGTAAATGTGATTGGCATAGCCACGAGGGAAAGGGTGGGGACCCCCCCCCCCCCCTAATACAGGCTAGGTACTAAATAAAGAGATAAAAAAAACCATAATTTTAGTCGGACATATTCATAGTCGAGAAAGCGTAAGGAAACGTGGTTGGTGTAGCCACCAGGGGAAGAGGGAGGGGGGAGGGAGGGAGTGGGGGGGGGGGTGGCTCGCCTAATACAGGCTCTGAACTACATGAAGAGATAACAAAACTTTAATTTCAGTTGGACATATAATAGCCAGAAAGAGTAAGGAAATAAGATTGGGGTAGCCACGAGGGAAAGGGTGAGGAAGCCCCCCCCCCCCCCAAATACAGACTGTGTTTTAAAGAAAGACATAACAAAACTTTCCTTCTGTCGGACGCAATCATAGTCGAGAATCGTAAGCCATGGGGGGGGGGGCCTGGCTCGCCTAATACAGGCTCTGAATAACATGAAGAAAAAAAACTTTAATTTCAGTTGGACATATCATAGTCAAGAAAGAGTAAGGAAAAAAAATTGGCGTAGCCAAGAGGTAAAGGGCGAGGCCCCCCCCCCCCCCCCCCCCCCCCCCCCCCCCCCCCCCCCCCCCCCCCCCCCCCCCCCCCCCCCCCCCCCCCCCCCCCCCCCCCCCCCCCCCCCCCCCCCCCCCCCCCCCCCCCGAATACAGGCTGTGTTTTAAATAAAGAGATGACCAAAAACTATAATTTTAGTCGGACATATCATAGTCGAGAAAGCGTAAGGAAACGTGGTTGGTGTAGCCATGGGGGGGGGGGAGAGAGGGGGCTGCCTACTACAGGCACTAAAATAAAGAGACAACAAAACTTTTATTTCCAGTCGGACGTATCATACTCGAGAAGAGTAAAGAAATGTGATTGGTTAGCCACGATGGGAATGTGGGGGGCATTCCTAATACAGGCTGTGTATTAAATAAAGAGATAACAAAACTATAATTTTAGTCGGACATATCATAGTCGAGAAAGCGTAAGGAAATGTGGGGGCTAGCGTAATACAGGCTCTGTGTTATATAAAGAGACAAAAAATAATAATTTCAGTTGGAAGTATATAGTCGGGAAATAGGGAAATGTAATTGGTGTAGCCACTGGGTGAGGGGGGGGGCTAGCTTAAAAACAGGCTGTGTGTTATATAAAGAGAAAACAAAACTTTAATTTCAGTCGGAAGTATCATAGTCGAGAAAAAGGGAAATGTGATTGGCATAGCCACAAGAGGAAAAGAGGGGGGGGGGCTCGCATAATACAGGCACTGTATTACATGAAGGTAAAAACGAACTTTAATTTCAGTCGGATATATCATAGTCCAGAAAGAGTAAGGAAATGTGGTTGGTGTAGCCACTGGGGAAAGGGAGCTAGCGTAATACAAGCTCTGTGTAATATAAAGAGACAAAAAATAATAATTTCAGTCGGAAGTATCATAGTCGGGAAATAGGGAAATGTAATTGGTGTAGCCACTGGATGAGGGGGGGGGGGGCTAGCTTAATACAGGCTGTGTGTGTTATATAAAGAGAAAACAAAGCTTTAATTTCAGTTAGACATATCATAGTCCAGAAACAGTAAGGAAATGTGGTTGGTGTAGCCATGAGGGGAATGTAGGGTAGAGGTCCCCCCCTAATACAGGCTCTGTATTAAATAAAGAGATAACAAAACTTTACTTTCAGTCGGACGTATCATAGTCGAGAAAGCGTAAGGAAACGTGGTTGGTGTAGCCACGAGGATGAGGGGGGGGGGGGGGGGGGGCTGGCTCGCCTAATACAGGCTCTGAATTATATAAAGAGAAAACAAAGCTTTAATTTCAGTTAGACATATCATAGTCCAGAAAACAGTAAGGAAATGTGGTTGGTGTAGCCACGAGGGAAAGGGTGAGGAAGCCCCCTCCCCTCTAATACAGGCTCTGTATTAAATAAGGAGAAAAAAAAACTTTTCTTACAGTTGGACGTATCATACTCGAGAAAGAGTAAGGAAATGTGGTTGGTGTAGCCACGAGGGAAGAGAGGGGTTGGGGGGGGGGGGTAGGGGGCTGGCCTAACACAGGCTGTGTTTTAAATAAAGAGATAACAAAACTATAATTTTTAGTCAGACGTATCATTGTCCAGAAAGAGGGGTTGGGGGGGGGGGGGGGTAGGGGGCTGGCCTAACACAGGCTGTGTTTTAAATAAAGAGATAACAAAACTATAATTTTAGTCAGACGTATCATAGTCCATAGGTGAGGAAGCCCCCCCCCCCCCCCAATACAGGCACTGTATTAAATGAAGATAAAATAAAACTTTAATTTAATTTGGACATATCATAGTCCAGAAAGAGTAAGGAAATAAGATTGGCATAGCCACGAGGGAAAGGGTGAGGAAGTCCCCCCCCCCCTAATACAGGCTGTGTATTAAATAAAGAGATACAATTTAAACAAAACTATGATTTCAGTTTTATGTTTCATAGTTAAGAAAGAGCACGAAAAATGTGATTTACATAGCCACGGGGAAGGGGGAGGGGGGCTCGCCTAATACAGGCTCTGTATTAAGTAAAAAACTAAAAACAAATTTTAGTTGAAACAATCATTGTTGAGAAAATAGGGAAATGTGATTGCATAGCCACGAGGGAAAGGGTGAGGAAGCCCACCCCCCCCCCCCCCCCCCCCCCCACCCCCCCCCCCCCCCCCCCCCCCCCCACTACAGACTGTGTATTAAATAAAGAAAAAACAAAACTATAATTTTAGTCGGACATATTATAGTCAAGAAAGCGTAAGGAAACGTGGTTGGTGTAGTTATTGGGGGGGGGGGGGCTTGCCTAATACAGGCACTAAAATGAAGAGACAACAAAAACAATTAATTACAGTCAGACGTATCATACTTAAGAAAGAGTAAGGAAATGTGATTGGTTAGCCACGACGGGAATGTGGGGGGGGGGGGACATGCCTAATACAGGCTGTGTATCAAATAAAGAGATAACAAAAACTATAATTTTAGTCGGACATATCATAGTCGAGAAAGCGTAAGGAAACGTGGTTGGTGTAGCCATGGGGGGGGGGGGGGGCTGGCTCACCTAATACAGGCTCTGAATTACATGAAGAGATAACAAAACTTTAATTTCAGTTGGACATATCATAGTCCAGAAAGAGCAAGGAAATAAGATTGGGGTAGCCACGAGGGAAAGGGTGAGGAAGCTCCCCCCCCCCCCCAATACAGGCTGTGTTTTAAATAAAGAGATGACAAAACTATAATTTTAGTCGGACGTATCATAGTCGAGAAAGCGTAAGGAAACGTGGTTGGTGTAGCCATGGGGGTGGGGGGGAAGGGGCTGGCCTATTACAGGCTGTGTTTTAAATAAAGAGATAACAAAACATAAGATTGGTGCAGCCACGAGGGAAAGGGTGAGGAAGCCCCCCCCCCCCTTATACAGGCTGTGTATTAAATAAAGAGATAACAAAAACTATTTTCACACTAACCTAGGTTCGGACACATAAACCAAGAAAATTAACGTGTAAATCTCCCCAAAAACGGACGATACCATTATTTATAGGGGTTTATAGGGGTTTTGCCAGTTGGATAAAAAACTAACAAAAACACCACAAAAAGCGCCTATGTACACTATTTGGCAGTTCTAAACATGGTTTCGCCATTTTCAAACAAACCTTGGTTCGGACACATTAACCTAGGTTCGGACACATTAACCAATAAAATTAACAAGTAAATCTCCCCGAAAAAACGGACGATACCATTATTATAGAAGTTTATAGGGGTTTTGCCATTTGGATAAAAAACTAACGAAAACACCAAGCTAGGTTCGGACACATTAACCAATGAAACGTGTAAATCTGCCCTAAAAACGGACGATGATCTGCAATCAGAAGGAATGATATTTTTTTGTCCCGAGGCGTGCAAAACAATAAAAGTTTTAAATATCAAAGGATTTCCTTACTCAAATTATAATATAAAAGATTATGCTGTGGCAATTATTCGTATTCTATAGCAGCACAAAACTGATGTTCATTGTTTTTATGTGGTCCCATTCACACACTTATATGATGCTCCTTTAAGTTGGGTTTGTGAAAGGGGAATAAGGCAGTAACTTTGACTGGTTACCTTTGACAGAGCCCTGAGGATAGCCACATTGAGTAGCTAGGGGAAATGGTCTCGTCTTGGCCTCTTCTTTCCACTTTAAGTTCAGGTATGCATCTTCTGCCTCTTCTTCCCTCCTCTCGGCTTCTGCTTCAGCTCTTTGTTCTTCCTTCTCCTTCTTCTCCTTCATCTCTTTTGCAGCCTTCTTTTGCTCCTCCATTCTCCATAGTTCTCCTTCAAAGTAAAGGGTAGATGAAAGGTGATTTCTTATTCTGGCAATTGCAGAAAACAGAATCTCACAGATTTAAACAGAACTATTTTAAAGACTAGAAAGAATGATAATACAATCACAAGGGTTCATTTTAAGTGACATCTTTCAATGGGAGTTAACAAAGGTTGGTCTCTTGTTTCGATTAAATTTTGATTAAAAATGAGAAAGATATTAATTTTTGAAGTTGCAAAACAAATTGGCAACATTATGCCATATTTTGCATTTATTTTCAAGCTCCCCTGCTATTTGCCCTGTACTTAAAAACTTCAAAAAACCTATACTTCCGTTAAAGCCCCACTGCACTACTCATAGCTACTTACACCCTCGATATAGCAAACAATGCTACCTTCCATGATGCACTAAATAAGTCCTTTATTCTTATCACCCCACATATTTCTTCTTTCAAATCCATCATTTTATGCAGTGGTTTCCATATTCATGTAAAGACCCACACCAAAAAAAAGTGGTCTTACATGTTTGAGGACTTGAGCTGCACTGTTAGATTTTATTACAACCACAAAATGGCTGCCAAGATGGCTGACATGCAGTCCATGAAACAATAATCACCAATCACAAGATTGGACAATAAGTAGGTAACCAATAGAGAAGCTTGTAAAAGATAGAGTGCCATGTGCATATACATGTAGTGTGCTGGGTTGAATAGGCAATAGATAGGAAGAGTGTGTGTGTGTGTGGTGCTATAGCAGGTAATGTGCATGAGGATGAATGAATAGGGACAGAACAATAGAAGCCAAGAGCTAGCAGACATGAGAGAATGAATGTAGGTCAGAAGTGCGCTGAAGCATATCGGAGTGGAAAGCTAAATGTACAGTGTAAAATAAACAAGTAACCACTTGGATCAGTGCAATTAAAACCTTACATTCAACTTGGTTCCATTTAAATTGGACTGTAGTCGTGTGCCACGGTTGCTTCCTAGGGTTCTCCATCAATTTCACAAAGCAGATAGCGTAGATTTACAGAAAACGATTGAATGTATTCCATGGAATCTATTTATTGATGAAGAGAGCATTGATAACACATGTGAACTTCACACTTGTGTTGCAGGCAGCAATCAAAGATGTATTTATCAAAGGAAATAGTTAATTTTAAAGAAATTTAAATGCCATTACCAAATCATGCATGCCCAAGTCTTGCCAGTATCATTCTTTGAGTATTTAAATAGAGGAACAGCTGAAAAGTCTTTTATCTATTCACACATTGAAAAGTGATTGTTATAACTTTCTCTGATTGTGCATATATTAAGATGCATGGTGGGAAATCAATTGTTCAGGCAATGATTATTTATCAGCTCATCATGTTTATGCATAAGTCACAAGAAATGTTGGTGAGGAGGGGATAAGTTGTACTAACTGTCCTAAAAACTCTTTATCTGTTGGTAAGGTATATATGGAGGAGACTGCACTTGCACTGGATGTGACGCCATGTTCACATGCAGGGCCAGATCATCAGTTGGGGGGAAAATGGGGTTAAAATTTGTGGGGTAAGTATATGCTGTATATCTGGCCCCTGTTGTCACAGTTCCATGTTAGTAGTTTTCTGCTAGCATGGATCTCCCCTGGTTCTCCCCTGGTGGCATTTATTTGAATATGATAAATCAAAATATATTAAAGCTCTTGAAATATCTTGAGCATTTCTCTCTCTGTTTAACCATTAATTTCGTGCATTTGTTAGTTTTTTTGAGACGGTTTTAGTAAAGTAACGAGTAAAACGTGCTGATGCGTATTGACATCTAGCGCGGTATACTTGCTGAGAGGCAGCACGATTTGAATTTTCAAAGTATTCTTTCTAACATCGGTAAGTTGAAACAAGGGAAACACTCTCGGCGGTCTCGCCTGCATTACGCAATTGAATGGAAGTTGGAACATTATTACAGGCAGGGTGGCCCATTAGCAGGCCCCCAAAAATGAAATCCTCTGAATATAATCAGCATTTTGAAGTGAATATTGATTAAGAATCATAAACAAAGAACAAAAAATAATTCATTTATTCTCATATGAAGTTGTGAAAACATAATCCAAGGCTACTGACCTAAAATGACCTTTGACCTTGTGACCTGGAATTTGTGTATATGATTTGTGATACTTGATAACCCTTGGGTACAAGTTTCATGGGATTTGAACAAACACTTTTGAAAATATGTTAAAAATTCAAAATCTTGATGTAGATACCACAAAAAAAGTCTAAGTTTGTTGACCTAAAATGACCTTTGACCTTAACTTAGTGACCTGAATTCTACTCACATGATACAGGATACTTGATTACCCTATAGTCCAAGTTTCATTGACTAAGAACTTATACTTTCAAAATTATATCAAAAATTCAAAAACTTAACCTTAGGTTAAGTTTTTGAGGTTGTTGACGCCGCCGCCGTCGCCGCCGTCACCGGAAAAGCGGCGCCTATGTTTCGCTTTTTTGCTACGCAGGCGAGACAAAATTGGAAAAGCCAAGTTATTCCTTATATTATCTATTGTTTTATCTCTTTTTTGGAAAAATGAGATTTCCATATGTTTTGTACACAAATCACGAAAATGAGTGATTTTTGGGCTGACATGCACAGACAAAAGGTCATATGACTTTGTAACAGTAGGTCCGTTTTCGAAAAAATTTATTTCAAAAGATGCGCCAGACTTGAAAGAAAAAAGTCATACATTTCAGCGCAAGATTCTTTTGCGTTAAAAAAGAATCAGGAAAAATGTAGGCTACTTAGGGTTAAAGATAAAGTTGATTTCTGGTCATGCGATTGCATCGTGAAAGAAACGGTGAGGAATCGATCAGAAAAGGTTGATCATCTAGCATATAAGTATTGGTGCGTACTGCAAGGTTCTGGAATCATCAAAATGATAACAAATGTGGCCCAGTCTTGGTAAAGTTACAAGCACTGTACACAGAAATATGTATATGGGACTACACAAACATTTGGCGTAAAAATCTGACCTGATTTTTATGCCGTTACATGAAATATTTCGAATATTAAGGCATTTGAAGAGCCATGCTTTTCAGGAAACATTTGTTATCTGATGTCCTACCAGAGTATCCAGACTTGTATAATAACAATGATAATGCTCACAAATTATTGTTCACCTCTTCCCAGAACTCAACCTTCTCTTTAAGAGAGCCCTGGTAACCATAGAAATTGCCTACGGGAAGAGGTCCTATTCTATACTTACTTCACTAACCCACAATTGGCGTAGCCACGAGGGAAAGGGTGAGGAAGCCCCCCCCCCCCCTAATACAGGCACTGTATAACATTAAGATAAAACAAAACTTTAATTTCAGTTGGACATATCATAGTCCAGAAAGAGTAAGGAAATAAGATTGGCGTAGCCACAAGGGAAAGGGTGAGGAAGCCCCCCCCCCCTAATACAGGCTCTATTAAATAAAGAGAATTAAAAACATATTTTAGTTGAACATATCATTGTTGAGAAAGCGTAAAGATATGTGGTTGGTTTAGACATGGAGGGGGGGGGGGAGAGGGGGAAGCTCGCCTAATACAGGCACTGTATTACATGAAGGTAAAAACAAACTTTAATTTCAGTCAGAAAGAGTAAGGAAATGTGGATGGTGTAGCCACTGGGGAAAGGGGGCTCGCCTAATACAGGCTTTGTTTTAAAGAGAACTAAAAACAAATTTTAGGTGAACTTATCATTGTTGAGAAATAGGGAAATAAGATTGGCGTAGCCACGATGGAAAGGGTGAGGAAGCCCCCTCCCCCCCCCCCCCCCCAATACAGGATCTGTATTAAATGAAGAGAAAATGAAAATTTAATTACAGTCGGATGTATCATACTCAAGAAAGAGTAAGAAAATGTGGTTGGTGTAGCCACGAGTGGAAGAGGGGTGGGGGGGAGGGGCTGGCCTAATACAGGCTATGTTTTAAATAAAGAGATAACAAAACTATGATTTCAGTCTGATGTTTCATAGTCGAGAAAGAGCAGAGAAATGTGATTCACATAGCGACGGGGGAAGGGGGAGGGGGGCTCGCCTAATACAGGCTCTGTATTAAAGAGAACTAAACACAAATTTTAGTTGAACATATCATTGTTGAGAAATAGGGAAATGTGATTGGCATAGCTACGAGGGAAAGGGTGAGGAAGCCCCCCCCCCCCCAATACAGGCTGTGTATTAAATAAAGAGACTATGATTTTAGTCGGACATATCATAGTCGAGAAAGCGTAAGGAAACGTGGTTGGTGTAGCCATGGGGGGGGGGGGAGGGGGCTTGCCTACTACAGGCACTAAAATAAAGAGACAACAAAACTTTTATTTCCAGTCGGACGTATCATACTCGAGAAAGAGTAAAGAAATGTGATTGGTTAGCCACGATGGGAATGTGGGGGGGCATTCCTAATACAGGCTGTGTATTAAATAAAGAGATAACAAAACTATAATTTTAGTCGGACATATCATAGTCGAGAAAGCGTAAGGAAATGTGGGGGCTAGCGTAATACAGGCTCTGTGTTATATAAAGAGACAAAAAATAATAATTTCAGTTGGAAGTATCATAGTCGGGAAATAGGGAAATGTAATTGGTGTAGCCACTGGGTGAGGGGGGGGGGGCTAGCTTAAAACAGGCTGTGTGTTATATAAAGAGAAAGCTAAACTTTAATTTCAGTCGGAAGTATCATAGTCGAGAAAAAGGGAAATGTGATTGGCATAGCCACAAGAGGGAAAGAGGGGGGGGGGGGGGCTCGCATAATACAGGCACTGTATTACATGAAGGTAAAAACGAACTTTAATTTCAGTCGGATATATCATAGTCCAGAAAGAGTAAGGAAATGTGGTTGGTGTAGCCACTGGGGAAAGGGAGCTAGCGTAATACAAGCTCTGTGTAATATAAAGAGACAAAAAATAATAATTTCAGTCGGAAGTATCATAGTCGGGAAATAGGGAAATGTAATTGGTGTAGCCACTGGATGAGGGGGGGGGGGGGCTAGCTTAATACAGGCTGTGTGTTATATAAAGAGAAATCAAAGCTTTAATTTCAGTTAGACATATCATAGTCCAGAAACAGTAAGGAAATGTGGTTGGTGTAGCCATGAGGGGAATGTAGGGTAGAGGTCCCCCCCTAATACAGGCTCTGTATTAAATAAAGAGATAACAAAACTTTACTTTCAGTCGGACGTATCATAGTCGAGAAAGCGTAAGGAAACGTGGTTTGTGTGGCCACTAGGGGATGAGGGGGGGGGGGGGGGGGCTGGCTCGCCTAATACAGGCTCTGAATTATATAAAGAGAAAACAAAGCTTTAATTTCAGTTAGACATATCATAGTCCAGAAACAGTAAGGAAATGTGGTTGGTGTAGCCACGAGGGAAAGGGTGAGGAAGCCCCCTCCCCCTAATACAGGCTCTGTATTAAATAAGGAGAAAAAAAAAAATTTCTTACAGTTGGACGTATCATACTCGAGAAAGAGTAAGGAAATGTGGTTGGTGTAGCCACGAGGGGAAGAGGGGTTGGGGGGGGGGGGGTAGGGGGCTGGCCTAACACAGGCTGTGTTTTAAATAAAGAGATAACAAAACTATAATTTTAGTCAGACGTATCATTGTCCAGAAAGAGGGGATGGGGGGGGGTAGGGGGCTGGCCTAACACAGGCTGTGTTTTAAATAAAGAGATAACAAAACTATAATTTTAGTCAGACGTATCATAGTCCATAGGTGAGGAAGCCCCCCCCCCCCCCCCCCCACCCCCCCCCCCCCCCCCCCCCCCCCAATACAGGCACTGTATTACATGAAGATAAAATAAAACTTTAATTTAATTTGGACATATCATAGTCCAGAAAGAGTAAGGAAATAAGATTGGCATAGCCACGAGGGAAAGGGTGAGGAAGCCCCCCCCCCCCCCTAATACAGGCTGTGTATTAAATAAAGAGATACAATTTAACAAAACTATGATTTCAGTTTTATGTTTCATAGTTAAGAAAGAGCACGAAAATGTGATTTACATAGCCACGGGGAAGGGGGAGGGGGGCTCGCCTAATACAGGCTCTGTATTAAAGAAAAACTAAAAACAAATTTTAGTTGAACATATCATTGTTGAGAAATAGGGAAATGTGATTGGCATAGCCACGAGGGAAAGGGTGAGGAAGCCCCCCCCCCCCCCCCACTACAGACTGTGTATTAAATAAAGAAAAAACAAAACTATAATTTTAGTCGGACATATTATAGTCAAGAAAGCGTAAGGAAACGTGGTTGGTGTAGTTATTGGGGGGGGGGGGGCTTGCCTAATACAGGCACTAAAATGAAGAGACAACAAAACAATTAATTACAGTCAGACGTATCATACTTAAGAAAGAATAAGGAAATGTGATTGGTTAGCCACGACGGGAATGTGGGGGGGGGACATGCCTAATACAGGCTGTATATCAAATAAAGAGATAACAAAACTATAATTTTAGTCGGACATATCATAGTCGAGAAAGCGTAAGGAAACGTGGTTGGTGTAGCCATGGGGGGGGGGTGCTGGCTCACCTAATACAGGCTCTGAATTACATGAAGAGATAACAAAACTTTAATTTCAGTTGGACATATCATAGTCCAGAAAGAGCAAGGAAATAAGATTGGGGTAGCCACGAGGGAAAGGGTGAGGAAGCTCCCCCCCCCCCCCCCAATACAGGCTGTGTTTTAAATAAAGAGATGACAAAACTATAATTTTAGTCGGACGTATCATAGTCGAGAAAGCGTAAGGAAACGTGGTTGGTGTAGCCATGGGGGGGGGGGGGAAGGGGCTGGCCTATTACAGGCTGTGTTTTAAATAAAGAGATAACAAAACATAAGATTGGTGCAGCCACGAGGGAAAGGGTGAGGAAGCCCCCCCCCCCCCCCCCCCCCCCTTATACAGGCTGTGTATTAAATAAAGAGATAACAAAACTATTTTCACACTAACCTAGGTTCGGACACATAAACCAAGAAAATTAACGTGTAAATCTCCCCCAAAAACGGACGATACCATTATTTATAGGGTTTATAGGGGTTTTGCCATTTGGATAAAAAACTAACAAAAACACCACAAAAAGCGCCTATGTACACTATTTGGCAGTTCTAAACATGGTTTCGCCATTTTCAAACAAACCTTGGTTCGGACACATTAACGTAGGTTCGGACACATTAACCAATAAAATTAACAAGTAAATCTCCACGAAAAACGGACGATACCATTATTTATAGAAGTTTATAGGGGTTTTGCCATTTGGATAAAAAACTAACGAAAACACCAAGCTAGGTTCGGACACATTAACCAATGAAACGTGTAAATCTGCCCTAAAAACGGACGATGATCTGCAATCAGAAGGAATGATATTTTTTTGTCCCGAGGCGTGCAAAACCCTAAAAGTTTCAAATATCAAAGGATTTCCTTTATACTCAAATTATAATATAAAAGATTATGCTGTGGCAATTATTCGTATTCTATAGCAGCACAAAACTGATGTTCATTGTTTTTATGTGGTCCCATTCACACACTTATATGATGCTCCTTTAAGTTGGGTTTGTGAAAGGGGAATAAGCAGGCACAGTGGAGCACCCCAATTACCGTGCGATCGACTCTCGTCCAGTAAACATCATTTGCATAAAATCAACAATTGTGTACCGATCGATGCGAAAAAAAGTAAACAAATTTCGAAGACAAATTCTTCATTAATGTGATGAATATCACCAATCAAAGCTACTAAATCGAGTATTGAATAAATTTGCAAGACACTCATGTGTATAAAAAGAGTTATTGATGCATAGAAAATGTGAAATTTAAGGGATAGTTTTGACGAACAAAAACGAAAAAAATGAGATACAAAATCACCGTAAAATTCACCATTTCTTTTAGAGCGAGAAAGAATTGCCTCGTATGAACAGAAAGAAAATTTAATAATCTCAATCCTTGTGAAATATCTCTTTTCATAGTTGCTTGATAGGGTCGCAACAGAGAAAAACATACCCCAATGTCCGAATCTCATCGAACAAAAATAATCCTTCGTTGTCGCAAAATTGTTTGACCAGTCCCATACATTCAAATGTGTGTCATGTCTGAACCTCGCGTGTGCGTTGGCTATACATGTCTTGCCAGCCGACTGCACACGTGCACTGCATGCGCAGTACATCGCTGAGATCGATGACGTCATGTTCAATGAGTTCGCTGACTACAACTTTTAAAAATGAAGCCCCATGAAAAAGAACGTTATAACCAAAAAAAATACAGCGGTGAAGCGAAAATTTCGCCCATGTATGGATTCAACCCTAATGAATATTCATACCAAGTCTCTTCTTCGTGCATTGCTTGATAGGGTCACAAACTTAAAAAGTAGACGTCGTGTTTTTCGAGGGGCGAAGCTCAAAACACATTAATATCTCGAGTTTTATTCCATGGAATTTCGTATTTATTTCAATGACATCAAATTTATAATAATTATAGTTAGTATGGAAAGTTTCATAGCGATATTGGCAGTAATAAAGGCGCAACGCGAATTTTAAGATTTGACATTCTAGCACACACATGTTCGGATTCACGCAGATGTCCGTTGGTTATTCAAATAGAACGGGCCGCTATTATGATATGCAAATTGGGGTGCTCCGCCGTGCCTGTAAGGCAGTAACTTTGACTGGTTTACCTTTGACAGAGCCCTGAGGAAAGCCACATTGAGTAGCTAGGGGAAATGGTCTCGTCTTGGCCTCTTCTTTCCACTTTAAGTTCAGGTATGCATCTTCTGCCTCTTCTTCCCTCCTCTCGGCTTCTGCTTCAGCTCTTTGTTCTTCCTTCTCCTTCTTCTCCTTCATCTCTTTTGCAGCCTTCTTTTTGCTCCTCCATTCTCCATAGTTCTCCTTCAAAGTAAAGGGTAGATGAAAGGTGATTTCTTATTCTGGCAATTGCAGAAAACAGAATCTCACAGATTTAAACAGAACTATTTTAAAGACTAGAAAGAATGATAATACAATCACAAGGGTTCATTTTAAGTGACATCTTTCAATGGGAGTTAACAAAGGTTGGTCTCTTGTTTCGATTAAATTTTGATTAAAAATGAGAAAGATATTAATTTTTGAAGTTGCAAAACAAATTGGCAACATTATGCCATATTTTGCATTTATTTTCAAGCTCCCCTGCTATTTGCCCTGTACTTAAAAACTTCAAAAACCTATACTTCCGTTAAAGCCCCACTGCACTACTCATAGCTACTTACACCCTCGATATAGCAAACAATGCCTAAGCAGTAATAATAACAACAATAATGAACGTTATTTGTATAGCGCATATCACTAACACCATGAAAGTCCCTATGCGCAGTGACAGTTGGTTCCTTTTTCCTATGTCAATTTAGAGCTGATAACCACTTGTCAGTGACCACGCAGGGAGGTCTAATCCCTCTTGGCCAAACTAGTGCAGATAGGTTTTAAGAAAATTTGCAATGATACGTTCACCCTAAATATAATTATTTCAAAGATGTTTTTATACAACCCCTGTATGAATCATCTTTTCCCTAACCAATCAGTGAGAAAACAAAAGTTTATAAAATTGGAGAGGAGCTTGCAAGATATGTCACAGTGTTGCCAATTTGTGTTTCAATGATGACATCTTTGAAAATTCATAACTTTCTTATTTCTAGTCGGTTTTTGCTCAAACTTTCACTGACCTGTTTCTTTCATTTTCCTGCTTTTATTAAAAGCAACTTAATATCAGGGTGGACTTCCCTTTAATTAACACTCACCTTTGCTTTCTCCTGGACTCTCCTCTTCTCTTCTGCTTCAAGTTGTTTCTTTGGCTTTTCTCGATTTCTGCTCCTTAGTCGTTCTTTCCTCAATCCACATGTTGACCTTGACCTCAATGACCTTAGCTTTCTCCACCTTCATCTTCTTCTCCCTCTGCAGCTTGGCCTATACTCGATAAACAGAGAAAAGAAGAGAACAGAGTGAGTGAGAGTGAGAAAGGGGGAGGAAGGAGAGGGAGAGTAAGAGAGAGGAGGGAGGGTGAGAGAGGGGGAGGGGAGGAAAGGCTGGAAAGAGAGAGAGAGAGAGAGATAGAGAGGGAGAGTAAGAGAGAGAGGGAGAGTAAGAAAGAGAGGCTGGAGAGAGAGAGAGAGAGAGAGAGAGAGAGAGAGAGAGAGAGGGTGGGTAAGAGAGAGAGGTAGAGCGAAAGAGGGGGCAGGGGAGGAGAGGCTGGAGAGAGAGAGAGAGAGAGAGATAGAGAGAGATATCTCAATGTACTTTGCGCCAATGCATGTCACCACAGCCCTAACTGCCATCAACAAATACCCAAGACATAAGATCTAATCCAAGACTCCCACCAACAAGCCCGCAGCCAAAACCATCCCTGAAGAGAACCAACCCGCAGCTACACCACCGAAACAAACTGTTGTCCTTCCCTATATCGGTCAAGCCTCTCACAAGATTCAGCATATCCTTCAAGCAGCAGACATCCAAGTTCGACACAGTTCCTCCAACAAACTCCATTCGATACTCCACTCCCACGAAGACAAGCATCCAAACCACAAGAAAGCTGGAGTCTACAAAATACCATGCGAATGTGGAAAAGTCTACATTGGTGAAACGGGAAGAAATCGGGAAACAAGACTCAAGGAACACAGAACCAGCTTCAGACTCAGCGATTGGGATAAGTCCGCTATCGTCAAACGCGCCCAGCAACACGAACACACCATCGAATGGGATAACGGTCATCTCATCTCCATAATGAAGCACTGGCATGCACGCCGAATCCTGGAAGCCATCAAAATTCACCGCCACAAAACCGTTCCCCAAGACTCAGGATTATACATCAATGACATCTGGAAACCCCTACCCGGTCACTCCTCCTCCACCACCGCCTTCACCACCCCAGCAGACACCCGTACATCAACCACCGCCACCCGCCGAACCCTCAAAGCAGCCGCCAGCCTCACAGCTACAATGCACAGCAGACAACAGCAGACTACAACGACGCCTACGTCAGGGACACACACAGCGTCTCGCCGACAGCACACCCCACTCATGGATTCGAAACTCTCCGACGTCCGTAACCCGGAGACTCCAGCCCAGACGGACAGCCAGACTGACCAGCAGACCATCTATGTCCACTCCCCGATGACTCAAGCCCACACGGTCATGCATTTTTCCCCATCGTGACGCACGCCAGCTATTCTCCACTCCTGACGACGGATAGTCAACCTGTTCGAAACGTCGAGCCAACTCCCGCCTCTCTCCAAGCGCTATAGTTCTCCTTAGAACTATAGCTAAGAAAGATAACCAACAGTCTTTTTCAAGACTATACCAACAGTCCTTTTCAGGACTAACAAACCCTCAAGAAAGATTACAGAGTCAGAGTCCTTTTCCCTCTCTCTCTCTCTCACACATGGTGCAACCGCAAGCCTACTGAATATCTACATCACCATGCAAGCCGACACTTGCAAGTAGCATCTAAGATGATGTTGGCCGCAAAAGGGACATAGTATCTTTAAAAGGAAGCTAACTAAGCTCACGCCTCCTTTTGTGATTATTGTAGCAACGTGGATTTTTGACACCGTCTTATAACATAGATTACTATGGTAATTATTTTTTCACTCATTCACTCATTTGCATATTTAAGGTAATTTATGGAAATAAGGTACAAAAATTGTATTTTACTGTGTCATGAATTGTCACTCAAGTACCGATTTTTAGTGAAATCAGTTGAGTTTTGAACAGTGGTGTTTGAAATGTTGAGAATCAATACAACAGTTTTTAATACAGCAGCAATTGCAGCCACAGTTTTCAAATTAAATAACCCATGAAAAGAAACCAGTTCAAACCAAGTACAGGTTGGGTAACGTCACCCTGGAAGAAGTGCAACACCACCCCTACCTGAATTCAAAGGGACTCGGTTGGGCCACACATATTGACCAAACTTCATCAAATTACATGTAGGCCCAAATTAGAGTTCTATGCAGCTACATGTACAGTATATGGGAACCACAGCATAAGTCAGACCAGGACAAACTAGACATTCAAAATGAGGGACTATGACAGGGAATCAAGTGTTACAAAGACGTTAGAAAATCTAAAATGGGGAACTTTGAAAGTCAGCAGAACCAAAGCCAGACAAGGAAACACATAACACATGGATTAACACCCAGCAACATATCAACTTATCTACTCATTTCAAAATGGCGCTACGGTACATACTTTATGCTCTTTGCATTTCCACAACCACTGAACTCATAAGAGTTTAAAGCAACTGACCAAAGGTTGATATTTAAAAACTAGATATCTTTGAAACAATGATATTTCCACCTTTCAATTAACATCAAATACTCCACTTTTGAATTGATCATGTCTGGTGACGTGGAGCATAATCCGGGACCTGAACATTCAAATTCGTTACGTCATACACTCAATTTTCTACCACTGAATGCCTGTTCCCTTGGTAATAAACTGAATGACCTGAAAGTGAGAGTTACTTACGATGAAATAGATGAATGAACTCTGATCCCTGCGATGGTGAACTCTTAGACGTACAACAATATCAAATCTTTCGTAAAGACCGCAATCACAACAGAGGAGGTGTACTTTTTGCATGAAAACGATTCACCGCCCCGAGTTTGAGATTCCCAGCTGCGAGTTGTTATGGATTCAATTAAGTTTACCACGAAACGAAGGCAAGCTCTTTTTGGGTGTATGCTATCGTCCCCCATCATCTAATGCTACCTTCCATGATGCACTAAATAAGTCCTTTATTCTTATCACCCCACATATTTCTTCTTTCAAATCCATCATTTTATGCAGTGGTTTCCATATTCATGTAAGGACCCACACCAAAAAAAAGTGGTCTTACATGTTTGAGGACTTGAGCTGCACTGTTAGATTTTATTACAACCACAAAATGGCTGCCAAGATGGCTGACATGCAGTCCATGAAACAATTATCACCAATCACAAGATTGGACAATAAGTAGGTAACCAATAGAGAAGCTTGTAAAAGATAGAGTGCCATGTGCATATACATGTAGTGTGCTGGGTTGAATAGGCAATAGATAGGAAGAGTGTGTGTGTGTGTGGTGCTATAGCAGGTAATGTGCATGAGGATGAATGAATAGGGACAGAACAATAGAAGCCAAGAGCTAGCAGACATGAGAGAATGAATGTAGGTCAGAAGTGCGCTGAAGCATATCGGAGTGGAAAGCTAAATGTACAGTGTAAAATAAACAAGTAACCACTTGGATCAGTGCAATTAAAACCTTACATTCAACTTGGTTCCATTTAAATTGGACTGTAGTCGTGTGCCACGGTTGCTTCCTAGGGTTCTCCATCAATTTCACAAAGCAGATAGCGTAGATTTACAGAAAACGATTGAATGTATTCCATGGAATCTATTTATTGATGAAGAGAGCATTGATAACACATGTGAACTTCACACTTGTGTTGCAGGCAGCAATCAAAGATGTATTTATCAAAGGAAATAGTTAGAATGTCCAGAAGAAAGGGAAGAGCTCACAGAAGAGCTTACAAGAAAGCAAAGAAAGCAAATAATCACATACTGCACATGTAAAGAGGATTTCCATAACAATTAAACACCTTGCTCTATTGTGTACACTCTAAGAAATTTAAATGCCATTACCAAATCATGCATGCCCAAGTCTTGCCAGTATCATTCTTTGAGTATTTAAATAGAGGAACAGCTGAAAAGTCTTTTATCTATTCACACATTGAAAAGTGATTGTTATAACTTTCTCTGATTGTGCATATATTAAGATGCATGGTGGGAAATCAATTGTTCAGGCAATGATTATTTATCAGCTCATCATGTTTATGCATACTGTAAGTCACAAGAAATGTTGGTGAGGAGGGGATAAGTTGTACTAACTGTCCTAAAAACTCTTTATCTGTTGGTAAGGTATATATGGAGGAGACTGCACTTGCACTGGATGTGACGCCATGTTCACATGCAGGGCCAGATCATCAGTTGGGGGGAAAATGGGGTTAAAATTTGTGGGGTAAGTATATGCTGTATATCTGGCCCCTGTTGTCACAGTTCCATGTTAGTAGTTTTCTGCTAGCATGGATCTCCCCTGGTTCTCCCTGGTGGCATTTATTTGAATATGATAAATCAAAATATATTAAAGCTCTTGAAATATCTTGAGCATTTCTCTCTCTGTTTAACCATTAATTTCGTGCATTTGTTAGTTTTTTTGAGACGGTTTTAGTAAAGTAACGAGTAAAACGTGCTGATGCGTATTGACATCTAGCGCGGTATACTTGCTGAGAGGCAGCACGATTTGAATTTTCAAAGTATTCTTTCTAACATCGGTAAGTTGAAACAAGGGAAACACTCTCGGCGGTCTCGCCTGCATTACGCAATTGAATGGAAGTTGGAACATTATTACAGGCAGGGTGGCCCATTAGCAGGCCCCCCAAAAATGAAATCCTCTGAATATAATCAGCATTTTGAAGTGAATATTGATTAAGAATCATAAACAAAGAACAAAAAATAATTCATTTATTCTCATATGAAGTTGTGAAAACATAATCCAAGGCTACTGACCTAAAATGACCTTTGACCTTGTGACCTGGAATTTGTGTATATGATTTGTGATACTTGATAACCCTTGGGTACAAGTTTCATGGGATTTGAACAAACACTTTTGAAAATATGTTAAAAATTCAAAATCTTGATGTAGATACCACAAAAAAGTCTAAGTTTGTTGACCTAAAATGACCTTTGACCTTAACTTAGTGACCTGAATTCTACTCACATGATACAGGATACTTGATTACCCTATAGTCCAAGTTTCATTGACTAAGAACTTATACTTTCAAAATTATATCAAAAATTCAAAAACTTAACCTTAGGTTAAGTTTTTGAGGTTGTTGACGCCGCCGCCGTCGCCGCCGTCACCGGAAAAGCGG